TCTGGGTGTCCGAGTGCTTGGATCCCAGAAAGCGAGTCTGCAGGTGCAGCAAGTAATCAGGAAAGCTCTGACAATGTGCTGGCTTATGGTGAGGGGGGAATTGAATACAAGAGGAGGGAGGTTATACCTCAGTTATACAGGGTGTTGGTGAGACTGTGTATACAGTATGGGGCACTGTACTTACAGAAGGATGTTAATGTGTTGGAAGCAGTTCAGAGAAGGGTTACCAGCCTAATAACTGGAATGAGGTGGGTTCCCCCATGAGGAAAGGTTAGACAGGTTTGACCTGCTTCCTGTGGAGTTTAAACAGTCAGAGGGAGCTGAATGGAAACATTTAAAATCCTGAGGGGGCTAGACCGGGTGGGTGTGGAAAGGATGGGTTCCTCCTGTGGAAGATTCTAGAACTAGCTGTCAATGGAAATGGCCTTGGCCATTCACCTTATCTATGCCCCTCATGATTTTATGTACCCCCTAAGGTCACCCCTCAAATCCCCACGCTCCAATGAAAAAAGTCCCAGCCTATCCAAACTCTCCTTATAACTCAAACCCTCCATTTCCGGCAACATCCTGGTAAATCTTTTCTGAACCCTCTCCAATTAAATAATACCATTCCTATAACTGGGCGATCAGAACTGCACACCATATTCCAGAAGAGGCCTCACTGATGTCCTGTACATCCTCAACATAACATCCCAACTCCTATACTCAATGGTCTGAGCAATGAAGACAAGCGTGCTAAATACCTTGCTAACCAAATTTAAAAGAATTATACACCTGCATCCCTAGATCTCTCTGTTCTACAGTGCTACCCAGGGCCCTACCATTATTTGTATAAGTCCTGCCCTTGTGTTTTTTTTTAAACCAAAATGCAATACCTCGCATTTATCCAAATTTAAACTCCATCTGCCACTCCTCAGCCAATAGATCAAGATTCCTTTGTAATCTTAGATAATCTTCTTCACTGTCGATTATACCACCAATTTTGGTGTCATCTGCAAACATACTAACCGTGCCTTCTATATTGTCATCCAAATCATTTACATAAATGACAGGGGACCCAGTGATTCCTGAGGATCACCGTTGGTCACAGGCCTCCAGTCTGAAAAACAACCCTCCAACACCTACCTTCGAACCAATTTTGTATCCAGTTAGCAAGCTCTCCCTGAATCCCATGAGATCTAACTTTACTAACTCATCTACCATGTGGAATCTTGTCAAAGGCTTTACTGGATTCCGAGTAAACAACGTCTACTGCTCTGCCCTCATCGATCTTCTTGGTTACTTCCTCAAAAAACTCAATCAAGTTTGTGGGACTCGATTTCCTAGACACAAAACCATGCTGACAATCCCCAATCATTCTTTGCCACTCCAAATGGATATAAATCATATCTTTCAGAATCCCCTCCAACAATTTACCCATCATTGATTTCAGACTCTCAGGCCTGTAGTTCCCAGGCTTCTCCTTACAGCCTTTCTTAAATAAAGGCACAATATTAGCCACCCTCCAGTCCTCTGGCATCTCAGTCATGGTTACAGTTGATACAAATATTTCTGTTAGGGGCCCTGCAATTTCCTCCCTAACTTTCCACAACATCCTGGGATACAATTGATCAGGTCCTGGAGATTTATCCACCTTTAAGACTTCCAGCACTTCCTCTTCTGTAATGTGAACTGTTTTCAAAACATCAATATTTATTTCCCCATGTTCTCTAGCCTCTATTTCTTTCTGCACAGTAAAAATTAACACAAAATATTCATTTATTACGTCCCCATCTCCTAAGGTTCAACACAAAGACAACCTCCTTGATCTTTAAGAGACCCTACCCTCTCTCTAGTTACCTTCTTGCTCTTAATGTATTTGGAGAATCTCTTCAGATTATCCTTAACCTTATCTGCCAATGCTCTCTCACATCCCCTCTTTGCCTTCCTGATTTCTCTCAAGAATGCCCCACACTCTTTATAATCCGAGAGATTCATTTGATCCCAGTTGTCTATATTTAATATAAGATTCTTTTTTATTATTGAATAGGACCTCAATATCTTTATTCATCCATTGTTCCCTAACCTTACCAGCCTCACCTTCCATTCAAACGGGAAATTGGAATCCCCATTTTCAAAAGGCAGTGGCTGCAGAATGTTTGGATATTTTTGAGGCAGATAGACTCTCGATGACCAAGGGGATGAAAGGTTCTTGGGGATATGCAGGAATGTACAGTTGAGGGTAAAATCACATCAGCCATGATCTTATTGAATGGTGGAGCAGAGTTGAAGGGTCGAGTGGCCTGGTGCACTAAAGGACCCGAAACCTTAACCCTGCTTTCTCTCCACAGATACAGCTGAACCGGAGTTTCTTTCAGCAATTTCTGTTTTTGTTTTAGATGTACAGCTTCTGCAGTTCTTTGTTTTAAATTAATCCAAAGAATGGTTTGTTACAACAATCCATCTGGTCACTCTTGGCCTTTAGGGAAGGAAATCAGCTTTCATTACGTGGTCTGACCTCCATGTGACTCCAGTCCCTCAGCAATGGGGTTGACCTTTAAGTGCCCCTGAAATGGCCTCGAGAGCCAGTCAGTTTGGAGAGTTTCCTGGCCTGGCCAGTGAATAAAATAGCTCATTTGTTGCCTACCAAGGAGACCAGAGATATTTGTGTGACCTGTCTTTCAGCACTTCTGTTCAGCTGCTAAAATTAGAGATAGGAGGGAGCCCTCCATAGGGTCTTGGTATAAATAGTTAGCTCTCGACATACTGACCATTTCTGGAGAGTTTCAATCGTGCTTGCTGAATGGTTTGGAGGCTAACACGTTGCGACAGTCCCACTTCACACGTGTACAAACCTCTCTCAAATATCAAGGAAAAAAACCTGCATGACTGTACTGAAGGGCACAGTGTGTGAGACCACGCCATTTCTCTAGTGTCAAAAAAAAAAACCCACACCATATTGTCCCCCACAAAGTTTGCATCTCTGTCAATCTCTCAGTTACAAAAAGCCTACTATGTTTTCAGAAAAGCAGGGCTTGCAGTCTGCACAATGCTGCAAATCAACAGACAGGATCAAGGCAGCAACATGGATTGCGTTGTGGAGATGCTGCACTCAGAGCAGATTATGTACAGCAAGTGACAAATGGAAATGGGTCCTCCAGCGAAAGGAATGAAGAACAACGCTGTTGCCAAGCTACAAGTTGTAATATCACAGGTGAATAACTGCGCTGCAGCAAAGAAATTCATTAAAAATTGGTATAAGAGTGGCCCAAGCTGGTATAATAGTAGCCTGAGGCCAGACCCTCAATGAGAACAAGGACCAGCCAGTGGTATCAGAATGCATCCTTGAAAATCATCAGAGCACGTTTCTGGCAATGATGGAACCAATGTGTAAAGACAAACAGCCAAATCAAACTCTCAAATCCAGCAAAGATTTCACAGCAACAGCCATGTAGCCACTTAATGCAAGTGCTGAGTCCTATAACACAACATCGAGTTGGCCGAGAGACCTGCAAGAAACCACTACGCCACAAAGACCTGTTTCCAGGAGTTCATCATCAGGCAGCAGCAAACATGATATTGCAGCTATGTAGACCAGCTACAAGATGCACTGCAGAAATTTACCAAAGATCCTCAGACAGCACCTTCCAAATCCACAACCACTTCCATCTAGAAGGACAAGGGCAATAGATATATGGGAACACCACCATCTTCAAGTTCCCCTCCCAGCCACTCATCATTGTGACTTGGAAATATATTGCTGTCCCTCCAGTGGCACTGGGTCAAAATCCTCGAACTCCCTCCCTAAAGGCATTGCGGGTCTTCCTCGACATGTTTACTCTGTCACCCATCCACCCATTTCACTTCAAAATGAGCACAGAGGGGCTTTGCTGTGGTAATCAGCACATGGACTGCAGCTCACTACCACCTTCTCAAGGGGCAACTAGGGACGGGCAATAAATACTGACCCAGCTGGCGACACCCATATCCAATCAATGAATAAATGAAACAAAAATTACACAAAAAATAACTCTCATTGGCACAACAAAGCACCCATGAATTTTGATATGCTCAGCTGCCAAACTGTGGAGCGAAAAGGTTTGAGAATGTTTCTATTGAAGATTAAAAGGACATTAGAAAGTAGGAGTCACAATGGCACAAAACTGAAGAAATGGTGTTTTTTTTCTACATAATACAATGCTGAAAATCAAATATCCTTTGGGAGATACTGTATCTGTCCAAGACAATATTGTAGGGATGAAAGTGATGTGAGGTATGGAGTAATGCTATGTGAAATAGTCATCTCCCTGGTACAGCAACATGGGTGGCATTCAGATCCCACAGAATTGATGAGATTAAGGTAGCGATAAGGATCTAACATCCACAGCTCAATCACTGGCTGATTACCACAGCAAAGCCCCTCTGTGCTCATATCAAAGTGAAATGGGTGGATGGGTGATAGAGAAAACACAGCGAGGAAGAGGTGAAATGTGAGACCTTCCCTATTTGATGTTTTGTGTGGTTCTGTCATGAGTGTGAGAGATGCTGTTTATGCACGGCATGTTGTCAGATCACCGAAAAGGCAGCGGAATATTCTGTGGGAGTGGATAGAGGGAATGATGGCCTGCTATAGGCAGAGTGGGGTCTGTTTGATGATGCTATAGGCCAAGTGATTCCAAATCAATTTGATGAGCTGCACATGACAAAGACTGAAGTGAACGTATGGTATGGTTTAAAAGGACAATACTTTTGTACAAATATTTCATTCAATAACCCGTACAAAGTTAATGGAATATGCGTGAGCAGTGGTTGTGTCTGGTACACACTTTGAAATGGTGATTGCTCACACAAAGGCAGGTTGGGAAACCCCAAACTTACTGCTTAGGTCCTGCTGGGTGAGACAAACAGATAAGTTAAGGATTGCTCTGATCTGAACTATGCCAGTAGCTGGTCAGTAAAGCTCAACCAGTTAGTGTTGGTGCACGCTGCAGCAAGTTGGAGAATAGCTGTGGTGGTGTCACCTAATGTAGCTCCAGCATCTGGGTATGTTGCTGACTCACCTTTGCATTGATCAGGGTCCACGTCATTGTGATAGCATCAAGGCGATGGATATCATTAGAGAAACAGTCAGCCTACACAAACACACAAAATATGTTGGACATGTTAAAAAAAAACACCCACATTGTCCTTGCTCTTATTAAAAACAGATTAACTTCAGTTTCTATCCACTCTTCTGAGGGCACTGGGGAAAATACACGAGAGGTTGAGATGGAGCAGGACACAGGGGTTCCAATTCTCTGCGATTCCTTCCTACCTACTTCCTGAACAAAAGAGGAAAGCCGAGTGGGGCAGTTGGACAGAGCTCTCGATGGAGAGCCGACGGGATAGACAAGGGAAAGATATTTAACATTCTGAGCTGATGCCAGAATTCGACACCAGCAATTAAAGACAATCACCATTAAATCCAATGGCAAATACGGGAGTAACTTTCTTCTCCAGAGATTGGGGTGGGGAGGGGGTATGGAATTCACTCCCAGAGAGAGCAGTAGTGGCAGAAAGGACAGGTCCATTTAAGGTGGAGTTGGATAAATATATATAGAGGCATAACTGACAAATATAAGGAAATTATCCAAAAGCTTTTGCCGATCCTCAGGATTCAAGCCTAAGCTGATATAACGTGTGCAATTCTAGGCAGCAGAGTTTCGGAAGGATATCAAAACCTCCGAGTGGACAGGGTGCAGTGGAGATGGGCTAGAAACAGATTGAGGAATTCATTGAATGTGGAGAGACTGGAGGAGCTGGTTTCATTTTCCTTGCAAGGGGTGGTGATCTGATAGAGGTGTTCAAAATCAGGAAGATAGAACGGGTAGGTAGGGATTATTTCCACTGGTTGGAGGGTTTGTAACCAGAGGAGAGAGATTTTAGTGCTTGGCAAAAGAAAATTTTTTTTTTTCAAAATAACAAAGGGAGTTAAGATCTGGAATGAACTTCCCAAAAAGGGAGTGGGTGCTGAAACTTTCAAAAGTAAAAGGAATTGGCTCAATCTTTTAAAAAAAACCCAGCAAGAGTACAGGAGAGAGCAGGGCAGCGCGGCGAATTGGAGAGCTCTTTCACAGAGCCAGTAGAGGCACAGAGGGCTAAGGGTCCCCCTTCGGTGCTGCATTAATCTCGAACATTTCTTACCAGCTGCTCGTATCCTCCAAAGATGAACATGCACTTGCCCAGAGCACAGGCAGAGTGGCCATCTCGAGCACCTGGGATTGAACCATGAACCTTTGGGGTTGACCAGCTGTGGGTATCTGCAGGTGGAACCAGAGAAGGAGCAGTCAGTAAAACAAACCCTCACACACCCATCATCCTCCGACATTTCCGCCATCTGCAATCCGACCCCACCACCAAAGATATCTTTCCCTCCCCACCTTTATCTTTCCGGAGGGACCACTCTCTCCGTGACTCCCTTGTCCGCTCCACACTCCCCTCCAGCTCCACCACACCCAGCACTTTTCCCTGCAACCGCAGGAAGTGCTACACCTGCCCCCATACCTCCTCCCTCACCCCCATCCCAGGCCCCAAGAAGACTTTCCACATCAAGCAGATGTTCACCTGCACATCTGCCAATGTGGTATACTGCATCCGCTGTACCCGGTGTGGCTTCCTCTACATCAGGGAAACCAAACGGAGGCTCGGGGACCGCTTTGCAGAACACCTACGCTCGGTTCGCAATAAACAACTGCACCTCCCAGTCGCGAACCATTTCAACTCCCCCTCCCATTCCTCAGACGACATGTCCATCCTGGGCCTCCTGCAGTGCCACAACGATGCCACCCGAAGGTTGCAGGAACAGCAACTCATATTCCGCTTGGGAACGCTGCAGCCCAATGGTATCAATGTGGATTTCACAAGTTTCAAAATCTCCCCGCCCCCTACCGCATCCCAAAACCAGTCCAGCTCGTCCCTGCCTCCCTAACCTGTTCTTCCTCCCACCTATCCCCTCCTCCCACCTCAAGCTGCACCTCCATCTCCTACCTACTAACCTCATCCCGCCCCCTTGACCTGTCCGTCCTCCCTGGACTGACCTATCCCCTTCCTAACTCCCCACCTACACTCACCTTTACTGGCTCCATCCCCGCCTCTTCGACCTGTCTGTCTCCTCTCCACCTATCCTCTCCTCTATCCATCTTCTATCCGCCTCCCACTCTCTCCCTATTTATTTCAGAACCCGCTTCCCCTCCCCCTTTTCTGATGAAGGGTCTAGGCCCGAAACGTCAGCCTCTCTGCTCCTATGATGCTGCTTGGCCTGCTGTGTTCATCCAGCCCTGCACCTTGTTCCCTCACACACCGCTCACTTGGCAAGGTGTACCAACATTACTAACCGCAGTCTCACTCCCAGGGCAAACACAGAGGAAGAACATGGAGTTTATTGGACTTTTAGGAGATCTCAGGTCACTTTACAGGCAGACAATAGAATACATTGTGAAGTACAGTCACCATTACCATCAATATTCCTGCCCCAGGAATCGAGGCTGAGGCTCCAGTGTCAAGCGGAGGGAGTACCACACTGCTGGAGAGACTCACCCCGAGGAGGAGGCAGAGAACGGGGGCCCGAGGGTATGGGGAGAGAATGGGGCCCCACCTGGCAGGATATTTGAAGCAACAATCAAAGAAAGAACGAAACTCCTGAGGTGTCACTTTCTTGGTGTAGAATCCCACTCCCCCCTCCAGCAGTCCCTCAGAAACACAGATCGGCTGCACGTATGTAGTTGGGGATGTCGATGTGATAGAGTTGTTCCAGGCCCATACCACCCACTCTGATTCTCACTGCCTGCAGAGGCAGAGGTGGTCACAGTGTGAACAATGTCACTGTTACAGTGAATCAGCCACATTTCACACTGTGTGCTGCAGCCTCTAAATACAAACCATACACACTTTGGGAAACAGCCCGACAGGTGTACTTACTGACATCGAACGCATACAGCACGTTGCACGCTCCCTCGGTGTCATTTCTCCCACCCCAGATGTAGATTGTGTCATCGAGGAGTACCGCAGTGTGGCCATACCTCATGTATGGTACCTGAGGAGAATGGTCCCTGCTTTCTGATCGAAAAGGTGGGAGTTTCATCCAGCGAAGTGAAACTGGAGGAAGAAACAAAAACATAACTCAATAGGAGATAGCAGAGGACTGTGTCAGCAGTAGCTGAGAGGTAGTAGATTACAGCTAGTGTCAGGGTCAGAGAGGACACCAAACAGCCTGCAAACTCCCTGAGGTCAGGGCCAACACCAGTATCAACAACATTAGTAAAAAGAAACATGTAAAATTGCACTCAAAACCAAGGGAGCCAAGCTAAAAATTAACAAGCACCTGAAAAACACTCATCTCCAGATCCCTCCTCATCACAGACACACAAGTCAGTGTGCAAACAGGAGAATGAAGCAAATGGGACGATGGGAACAGGAGGTACATTGGCACCAGCTGCATACAGGGCAGATGGACTGTTCCTGAATCAGGCTGCAATGTGCTTCTTAGTTTGTGCTGTTGGCAGGAGTTAATCTAACACGAAGGGGAAAGTGGGAACCAGGTGGTGATATCAAAGAGGAATACCAAGGGGCACAGAACACAGTAGCAGGATTGGGGTTTCACAGTCAGTGGCGAAACAAGAAGTTTAATTTGAGATTGCTGTGCACATATGGGAAAGTGAGGAGTGCGGTAAAAAAGGCTGGTGAATTGCAGATTCAAACAGCCAAGTTGGGGCATGGTGCTGCGGCTATAACAGAGACCTAGCTCACAGAAGGCATGGCTGGGTGTTAAAATATTACAGATTGCAAGATGTTTAGCCGAGATAGGAAAGGGGAGGGTGGCAGTATGGATTAAGGAGAGCGTGCAGTGCTGGAATGTATGGCTGTCACAGAGAGGATCTGACTAGAGAGAAGGAGTGATACAGGTGCACTCATGTTGCTCAGTAGAGTGTATAAACGCCAACTAGTGAGAAGGATGCAGAGGAACAGATTATGAGGAAATTACTGAGGTGCTGCAAGCTGTTCTTTCCTGCAATATTTGTTGCCCATCACTAATTGTACTTGAACCGAGTCAGTTGCCTGGCCATTGTTTTTCATTCATTCGCGGGGGGGTGGCATTGCTGGCTTGGCATCTCTAATTGTTAACAGTCAACCACATTGCTGTGGGTCTGGAGTCACATGTAGGCCAGCCCAGGTGAGTTTGGCAGTTTCCTTCCCCAAAGGACATTAGTGACCCAGATGGGTTTTTCCCCAACAAAGTGAATTCAAATACCACCAGCTGCGGCAGGATTTGAACCCAGGATCCCTGAACATTACCAGGGACTCTGGATCAATAGTTCAGTGATAATACCACTAGGCCACAATAGAGGGACTGAGGTGTCAGAGGACAGTTAGAAACAACAAAGTTGCTGTAACTGGAGTCACTTGCAGGCCAATGGCAAAGAAAGAAAAGCTGCAAACCAACATTTCTATAATTTAAGCTCGACCCGTTGTTAAAATCCCCCTACACATACAAACATATTCCCAAAGCTTCAAAACAGGGGGATTGTGGGTGGGGGAAGGAAAATAAATGTTGCAGCAGCACAGTTTTGGCACCAGTCCAGACCACACCATCAAGTTGTTTGATTTTTGGGTCTTTTTGATTCCTTTTGGCTCTTTACTGATGATACAAGCCTCTGCACATGTGATTAAAGGAAAAGTTTTTCATTAAGGAGGGGGATGTGCCTTTTTACTGTCCCTGAAGATGATTTCTCTCCACCTTTTCTGTCAAAAACAGAACCTGTAGCTTACAGAAGAAAGGTGAGGGAGAGTATCTAGCTATTAGAGATTTCCCTTCACTAAATTACAGAAGGGAGAGAAATAAAGAGATGGATATTTCTCTTCACAGCCTGGATGTTTCTGTGTATTTTCTACAAACAATGTTGCCTGCCCAGGAACCAATCAGGAAGCTGTTACTATGCTAAGCTGACAAAGTCTCTGGACAAAATCTGCCCGAGTCCACACAGATGATGCGGGATTTCTCTGGAATACTGGCTGGGCCCAGCATTTACCGCCCATCCCCAGTTTGAACATAGAACAGTACAGCACAGTACAGGCCCTTCGGCCCACAATGTTGTGCCGACCTATTATCCTACTAAGATCAAACTACCCTGCATACCCTACATTTTACTATCCTCCATGTGCCTATCCAAGAGTCGTTTAAACGTCTCTAAAGTATCTGACTCCACTACCACTGCCGGCAGAGCATTCCACACACCCACCACTCTCTGTGTGAAGAACCTACCTCTGACATCCCCCCTATACCTTCCTCCAATCACCTTAAAATTATGCCTCCTCATAATAGTCATTTCCGCTCTGGGAAAAAGTCTCTGGCTATCCACTCTATCTATGCCTGATCATCTTGTACACCTCTATCAACTCACCTCTCATCCTTCTTCACTCCAGTGAAAAAGCTCTAGCCCCCTCAACCTTTCCTCATAAGACCTGCCCTCCAGTCCAGGCAGCATCCTGGTAAATCTCCTCTGCACCCTCTCTGAACATTCCACATCCTTCCTATAATGAGGCTACCAGAACTGAACACAATATTCCAAGTGTGGTCTAACCAGGGTTTTATAGAGCTGCAGCATAACCTCACGGCTCTTACACTCAATTCCCCTGCCAATGAAAGCCAACACACCATGTGCCTTCTTTACAACCCTATCAACCTGAGTGGTAAATTTGAGGGATCTACAGATGTGGACCCCAAGATCCCTCTGTTCCTCTACACTCCCATGAATCCTGCCATTAACCCTGTATTCTGCATTCAAATTCCACCTTCCAAAATGAATCACTTCACACTTTTCTGGGTTGGATTCCATCTGCCACCTCTTTGCCCAGCTCTGCATCCTGTCAATGTCCCGTTGCAACCTACAATAGCCCTCCACACTGTCCACAACTCCACCAACCTTCGTGTCATCGACAAACTTACTAAACCACCCTTCCACTTCCTCATCCAAGTCATTTATAAAGATCACAAACAGCAGAGGTCGAAGGTCCTCAGGAAGTTCATTCCACACACGAACACTGTGCAAAAAAGTTGCCCCTCACGTCTTTTTTAAATCTCTCTCCTCTCACCTTAAAAGTAGAGACAAGGAGAATGGAATGGAATCCTTGCAGGGAGGAGAGTGTGAGGAAGTGCAGTGGAGGTGACTGGGGGAACAGAAGGAAATGGATATTTGGTTGATAGCCATCCCTCAAAAATGGAAACTGAGAGTTCAAGGAAGGGAAGAGTCGGAAGCTAACAGAAAGTGCAGCAGAAACTAGCAGCATCTGTACAGAGAGAAAAACACTGAGTTAATGTTGAGTTCAGTGTCCCTTCATCAGCATGATTCCGGAGAAGGATCGCTAATCTTGAAATGATAACCATTTTTCTCTACAGATGCTGCCAGACCTGCTGCTGTGTTAGTTTCACATTCCCAGCATTTCTTTCGTTGGCCCTGACAAGGCGATGGCGAGCTGCCTTGCTGAGCCGTTGCAGTGCACAGACTGTTTTTAGCAATTAATACAACTTGCTAGGCCATTTCAGAGGGCAGTTAAGAGTCACCCGCATTGTCGTGGGCCTGGAGTCACATGTAAAGACGGCTGATTTCCTTCTCTAAAGATCAGGAGTAAACCAGCTGGGTTTTTGCAGCAAATGACAGTGGTTTCCTGGTTATCATTAGGGACTTGAACCTGGATCCCACAGCATTACCGGGGTTTCTGGATTACTCCTCCAGCAACAATACCACGATCCCTTCAGCCCCCTCGATCCAGGCCACATTGTGTATACAACCCGTAACATGGCCCCGGAACTTGTTTGTAAAGCTGGAGACATCTTCTCTCAGTTACCTGGTTTTCCTCCATGTTAGTCCACGTTCAAAGAGAGGTAGTCTGTACAGCAAGTAACATGGTAAAGGCCAGAGCAAGGCAACAGTTCCTACAGGGTATTCAGGAGAATGTTCATCTGCAGTAATTCTGCAGGCAAATGAGAGAGGAGGCAGCTGAGAGACCTGAGCTTGGAATAAAAGCTGGGCCCAAATGGATCAAGTGGTATTGGGAAAACATTCAGGGAACAGTGATAACATTTAACTTTCCTATGGAAGAGCATAAATAATAAAACAGAGCAAGAATAAATGGATCCCACACATGTCCTGACCCAGGCTGATCCTACACTCCACCCTGGCCTGATCCCATGCTCACTGGCTCAGTGATCCTGTAGGATCTACTTGCCAATTTTTCTAGCTTGAGGAAGTACTGACGCTGACACCCACATCTCAGCAGTGAATGAAATAGTTACTGTCCAGTCAGTAAATTCCAGGAAATATCAAGCTTGTTTGTGACTACAAGGTGTAGAGTTGGATGAACACAGCAGGCTCAGCAGCATCAGAGGAGCAGCAAAGCTGAAGGTCTAGGCCCGAAATGTCAGCCTTCCTGCTCCTATGATGCTGCTTGGCCTGCTGTGTTCATCCAGCTCTACACCTTGTTATCTCAGGTTCTCCAGCATCTGCAGTTCCTACTATCTGTTGTTTGTGACTTGGTTTGTTTGACGTCAAAAGCAGGAGTTTCACAAGGTGGACTTTGCTCGACAACGTGTCTTTTTTTGTTGGAATCGACAGGAGGCATGTGTGTTTGCCAAGAGGATATCGAGTAATAGCACCCTTCTGAGGAGACAAGCTCCAGGTGACCCTACCCTTGTGCCAAAGACCCATCGCACCCCAGTAATGCTCTCCTACAGCCTCCCACAACCTCTTCTGCCAGGCAGAAGATACAGAAGCTTGAACAAACGCACCAACAGGTTCAAGAACAGCTTCTTCCCTGCCGTTAATAAACTGCTGAATGGACTCTCTAACTTCAAATAATGTTGACCTTGCCTAGTGCATGCCCTGTGCAGTGTAACTTGTATGCCTGTGTCTGGTCTTTTTTTCACCCTTTGATCTGTGACCTGCCTGTACTACTCATAAACAAAGCTTTTCACTGTACTTAGGCACACGTGAGAATAAATCAAATCAAACCAGACCCTGGTCCAACATGATGAGCCTTGCATTCACCAACTAACACTTCCAGCTGAAATGCATATTGCAGCTGGGCTCCCAGGCCAGAGTGTGAACTCATCACCTTGGACGGTTGCAAAGAGAGTTGTTTGTGAGTTTAAGGAGTATGAAAGAACAAGCAGGCGGCCCAAGCTGCACTGACAGCTGCTGTTGTTACTGGCTTTTCCAATTCTAGGAGGACAGGGTAATATCCTACTATGTCGACCCAGAGAATACAGCCCGAGCTGGAGGGCTGTAATCAAAACTAACATCACGAAACAAGATTTCAACACACAAACGGTCAGTCTATGGGACAGTTTCCTCAGAGAAATGGAGGAATCAGTTCATATTCACAGACACATAGATTGGTACTGGCACTGGCTATAACTTTTGTGGAATATCTGTATATCCCTCCATATCTCCTTCAGCACAGGGAAATGTATGAAGCAATAAAAAAAGGCAGCAGATCCATCGGCAAACCAAACAGCTCAGGGTGAAAGAAAAAGCAGGTAGTCACCACAGACTGCAGTAGCCAGTTTGAAGGATTCGTCATACACCAACTGAAGATGTGCTCCAAACAGAACACCATCACCAGAGACACCAGAGAGAGTGAGAGAGAGAGAGCCTGTCACTGCACACCTGGGTACTGAACCAGACTACAGGAGCTCAGCAAAGCTATTGGCTTGTTTACTACAGGCAAAGCTCCAAGCACTGGTCATATCGCAGCTAAACTCAACAACATGATGAGCTGGCACTCTAGCAGCTTTCACTTCTCAGTCTCTTTCAGAGAGACAGGTCAGTCCCAGGAAGTATGTACTACACAGCCTGAGCCTGAACAGTAGCATGAGGCAGATCCCACTGAGCATTGTGGGGAAAGGATTTACCATCTCGGCACAATCACCAACAACATTTCAAGAAAACCAACTACTCACTTAACCTTCTCAGTCTGGTAGCTGCAACAGAAAAGTCATGAATAATGTGGCATGGTGGCTCACTGGTTAGCACTGCTGCCTCACAGCGCCAGGGACCCGGGTTCAATCCCACCCTCAGGCGACTGTCTGTGCGGAGTTTGCACATTCTCCCTGTGTCTGCGTGGGTTTCCTCCCAAAGTCCAGAGATGTGCAGGCTAGGGTGGATTGGCCATGAGAAATTACCCCATAGTGTCCAGGGATGTGTAGGCTAGGTGGGTTAGCCGTGGGAAATGCAGGATTAAAGGGATAGGGAGGTGGGTCTGGGTAGCTTGCTCTTTGGAGGGTCAGCGTAGTCTTGAAGGACCGAATGGCCTGCTTCCACACTGTAGGGATTCTATGATTGCTGAAAATAGTATCATAAGAGGAGGTCACCCTTCATTGACCTCACTAAGACCCTCGAGTGTGACAGCACAGACAGGCAGGAATTCTCAGGCCTGGAAAGACTCAGTTTGACCTTCAGCAGCAGGAAGAGCCTTGTCCTGACCCAGGGTGTGGCTGGAGCCTCAGCGCGGCCGAGAGACGTGTGTGTATTCCCGTGGTCCTGCAGCGCTGGTATTGGAGGCTCTGTGCTCGGAGCGGGGGCGTGTGAGAGACAGACCTGGGCCGCAGGGGTGACAATGGGTGACCCAGGGAGGGGGCAGGGTTATGGGGAGGTACCAAAAGAATTGTCAGTGGTAGAACAAGCCAAGAGAGATACTCGCTCGCGCGCTCTCTCTCTGACTGACAGTGCGGCAGGACATTGCAACCCTGGCAGGGTGGACCCAGCCTCAACACATCAAAACCTGATTCGTCCAGACAGTGTGCAGCATCACAGTGTCCCATGGCCCTGACATTAGTGAATGACTGAACACACTCGATGGGTCAAACGGCCTACCACTGCTCCGACATTTTCTGGATTAAAGTCACATGCAGGCTGTCCCAGGGTCACTCTGGTAAGTCTTGTAGTGATGGAGGATTGAAGAGAGGGACAAGATTGTGAACCCAGACATCCCAAGGCAATGATTTACACCAGTACATGAAGGGCACTGGGCAGAGGGGTCATCCTGGCTGGGGAATCTGGGTCTGCAAGCTCACCATTCCTTATGGCTAAAAGAAAGAACAAAACTTGAATATCTGCAATTACAAAAGTTCAAACAGGCAGGGGCAAGATCAGAAGTGACAACCTGGGATGGAAAACATGGCCATTAACATGAATCACACTGTTACCAAAACAATAAGACGATAAATCCCACCATTGCTTCCCCATCTCACATTTGGCAGAAATACAACAATTCAACAAATTGTTTTTATACCAGTTCACCAACTCTTCTACGTTCCTGTGCTAGGACCTTGAACTGTTCCTGCACCTCTGGGTCAATGGGCTGAGGAGTGGCAGGTGGAGTTTAATTTGGATAAATGCGAGGTATTGGATTTTGGTAAAACAAACAAGAGCAGGACTTATACAATTAATGGCAGGGCCCTGGGGAGTGTTGTCGAACAGAGAGACCTACAGGTTTAGGTACATAATGCTTTAAAGTTTGTGTCACATGTAGATAGAATGATTAAGAAGGTGTTTAGCATGCTTGCTTTCATTGCTCAAGCCATTCAGTATAGGAATTGGGACATCATGCTGAGGTTTTACAGGACGTTGGTGAGGCTATTTTTGGAGTACTGTGTACAGTGTACAATTCTGGTCACCCTACAGGAAGGATATTATTAAATTGGAGAAAGTTCAGAAAGATGTTACCGGGACTGGAGGGTTTGAGTTACAAGGAGAGGCTGGATAAGATGGGACATTTTTACTGGAGTGTAGGAGGTTGAAGGGTGACCTTATTGAAGGTTATAAAATCATGAGGGGCACAGAGAAGGTAAATGACAAGGGCCTTTTTCCTAAGCTGGGAGAGTTCAAAACTAGGGGGCACATTTTTAAGGTGAGAGGAGAAAGATTTAAAAAGGACATGAGGGGCAATTTTTTTTTTAAAAACACAGAGTGGTTCGCATGTGGAATCAACTTCCAGAGGAAGTGGTAGATGCATGTTCAGTTACAACATTTAAAAGGCATTTAGATAAGTACATGAATAGGAAAGGTTTGGAGGGCTATGGGCCAGGAGCAGGCAGGTGGGACTAGTTTAGTCTGGGATAATGGTCAGCATGGACTGGTTGGGCCAAAGGGTCTGTTTCTGTGCTGTATGACTCTCTGATTCAGCCCCATTACCCACGGAGTGAGCTCCCAATCTCTAATACAGCTGTGAACAACACGGGGAAGTGCTCACCTGCGTTAAAGACATGCACATCGATCTGACGAAGGGTCTCATAGTCCTCTCCAGAACAATAACCACCGAAGGAGTAGACTTTATGCCCGACGGCCACAGCAGCGTGGTTCACCCTCCGCGGACCTCCTTCCAGGTGAACTGCCCACCGCAACATTGCCCTCAGTTGGGCAGCAGCCTTCCCAAGAGCACCATCGCAGCCAGAATGGCCTGGCCACACACTCAGGCACAGCTCATTGCAAACATGGCTGCAGGGAGAGAAAGAGCACACAGTCACTCTGCCAGGTCCCTACCTTACCCTTCCTCCTCCCCCCAATCCATTTTAATCAAGATTGTCCCTAGCCAAACCCTCTACAACAGCACTCTCACATCACCCATTCCCTCCACGCTCCGTGGTAGTGATCAGCTGAGCAGGACAGAATGAGGGTCAGAGGCAGAGCCTCCTCCCTCAGACTGACAGGGAGAGGGCAGCCTTACGGGGTACAGGGAGGGGGAGCGGAGAACAGGCACAGAAACCTCTGAGGAAGGGTCACCGGAGCCGAAACCTTAACTCTGATTTTCCTTCACAGATGCTGCCAGACCTGCTGAGCTTTTCCAACAACTTCTGTTCTTGTTGCGGAATTCGTTAATGATTGACTAACAGGCAGAAAACAGAGTCGTAATAAATGGGCTACCCCTCACGTTGGCAGCGATGGTGAGAGGTTGGAAAGTGTAGATGTGCAAAGGGACCTAGGTATTCTTGTGAACAAATCACTGAAGGTGAACATGCAGGGACAGCAAGCTATGAGGAAGGCTAATAGAATGCTAGCCTTTACTGGAAGAGAATTTGAGTATAGGAACAGTGAAGTCCTGCTTCATTTGTGTAGGAACTTGGTTAGACCCACATCTAGAGCACTGTGTGCAGTTTTGGTCTCCTTTTCGCAGGAAAGATATTATTGCCATCGAGGGAGTGTAACAAAAGTTCAGCAGACTGATCCCCGGGATGATGGGACTGTCTTGTGGAGAAAGGGTGGGCAAGCTGGGTCTGTATTCTGTAGAGTTTCAAAGAATGAGAGGTAATCTGGTGGATTACAAAATATTGAAACGTATAGACAGGGTAGATGCAGATAAGGCATTTCCCCTGATTGGAGAAACTAGAACAGGGGAGGAAACCCACTCAGGACCACAGTGGGCAGAAATGTTCTGTATTGAGCATTGAGAATCTTTGGAATTAACTACACCACAGGGCTGTGAAAGCCCCGTACTGAGTATATTTAAAAATAGAGATTGAAGGAATTTCCAAATCCCAACAACATACAGGGATATAGGGGACCGTGCAGGAGGGCGCCTTTGAAGTGGATGAACAGCCAATGATTGTACTGAACAGTGGGGTAGCCCCAATGGGCTGAATGGCCTCCTCGTGCTCCTAACTTCCTAATCTCCTTAAGTACCCCAATTAGGTGATACAGTAGGAGAGACCAGGCAGCCTGGACTTCTTGGTATAGAGTTGGTCCACACATCTTGAGATCAGAAATGAATTAAAAGCTAGCTGATAATATTGGTGTAGCTGTTGAGCCATGTGTGTGAAGTGTGCTACACACACAACATCGCTGCCAGATAACTAGACTGAATATACAGCCCTTAACTTCACTCTTAAAGGTTCACACACACAAAAAAAACAATCCTTTTAGAAAAGGAAACTAAAATCAGCTCTAACTCCTGCAGAGTGTGTTAATTCCCACATGGGGACAGAAGGGGGTCCCACACACTGTAACTGAAAAACTGAACTGCTCAGCAAATTCCGATGGAATGGGAGGATACATAAAGGGATTTGTTTTCCAGACCCTCTAAGACAGCCAGGACACAGAGGGGAACTCTTCCACAGGTGTTTAATGAGTGCTGTGGGATCATTTACATCCCCGTGAGGGGATAGATAAAGCCAAGGCTGCAGTTCTACCCTCTCTCGCTGTGTACTCCATTCACTGCACTATCTGCCCTCAGCTCTACAGCCTCCCTCAGCAAATCCCGCCTCACGGTTCCTCCCTCCTCCACCTCCAACACCACCCCCTCACCTCAAACACACCCCTCCCCTCAGCCTCACTCTCACCAACACCTCCAACCCCCATCACTCAGCTCCACACCCACCTCAGCATCGTCCCCTCTCCCTCAGCCTCGCTTACGCCCCCTCCCCCTGCTCCCTCAGCCCCACTACCCACTCTCACCTCCAACCCCTTGCTGCAGCTCCAACACCCCAGCTCTGTCCCCTAAGCCCTGCTCCTCCCCACCAGCTCTGCCCCTTCTCTTCCTCAGCCCCATCACCCTACACCTTCAGCTCTGTCCCTCATCTCCCTCAGCAATGGGAACATCCTGACAGGCCAGTGCATTACTGAGAGAGTGCTGCACACTCACAGGTACTGACTTTCAGATGAGACGTTAAACAGAGGCCCCACCTCTTTTGGTAGAACCAAGAGACCCCAGGGCACTACTCCTCCTGACCCAGTCCTTCCAGGGTCCTAACCATTATCAATCAATGACACCTGGCCATTTTTACATTCCTATTTGTGGGAGCTTGCTGTGTACAAATTGGCTGTTAGTTTCGTTCATGTTATGACAGTGACCGTACTGCAAGTAAAGTACTGCCATTGGCTGGCTCGTTTCAACACTGCACATACATTCTCTTTTCGTTCACGCTATCGATCAAGAATAAACCGCTTAAAACGAGGTCTTGTGATGCTCTACCCAGACAATCAGCCCAAGGCAGCTGGGCCCATTACTGCCTGCAGAAAGGGACATGGTTGAAACTGCCAGGTTGGAACCAAGGCAGCCAGTTTGAAATTCAGAAACCCGTTCTCGTGGCACGTGCTAGCTACAAGTGGGAAGTGAATCCCCCAATACTCACCCCACGCTGTCCAATCCCCTCTATATTGCCAGTCACCTCCCAGCGCTGAAAACAGCCTTCTGACTTTTTTTATATCCTATATTCTTTCCAGTACCTCCAGCTAGCTGTTACCCGTTCTGTCCAATCAAGAACAGAGGTTACTGACTGACATTTGTCAACAATTTCTTTTTTAAAAACATAGTGTACACTGTCCTTGAAAGCTTACTATGAATACTCAGTGTCAAAGGTCACCTCTCAGTGTTTCACTTATCTCCGAACACTTGTACTCAGCTTGTACGAAATGGGAAAACACTCACTTGGTTAGTCCGAGGTGAGAAAGGGTGTTGGGAGATTTCAGAGAGTGCTGCAGAGCTCTGATAAAGCAGAACTTTGCACCCTGAAACAGCACCGTTTCCCCCTGACTCCCCTACAACCCTACGGCAATTTGTCAGAGGAAGCAGAAAGTGGCAGAGCTCCAGGTCCCCTGACAGATTCTCCTGTTTATGTCACTGCAGCTTCAAATGACATGAAAAGCACACCGCAGCTGTGAGGGCAAACTGGGCACGTACAGAATCAATGTGATCTGCAATTCAAAGAAAACTCTGGCATTTCGAAAGCATCTCCCAGCTTATTGCAAAGCCCTAATGAAATCTTGCCCCTGTTGCAGGAGAGAGAGAGAATCCATCACACATATAGTAATGCCTGTAGTTTGACTGATAGCTGGTGAGCGATAAATATTGAACAGCACACCAGGCTAATATTCTTTACAAAGAGCACAATGTGATCTTCCAGAGAAATCCCGAGAGGGCAATCATAGAGTCATACAGATCCTACGGCCCAACTTGTCCATGCCGACCAAATATTCTAAACTGATCGAGTCCCATCTGCCAGCATTTGGCCCATATCCCTCTAAACCCTTCCTATTCATATAACCATCCAGATGCCTTTTAAATGTTGTAATTGTACCAGCCTCCACCACTTCCTCTGGCAGCTCATTCCGTACACGCACCACCCTCTGTGTGAAAATGTTGCCCCTTAGGTCCCTTTTAAATCTTTCTCTTCTCACTTTAAACCTATGCCTCTAGTTTTGGACTTCCCCCACCCCAGGGAAAAGACCTTGGCTATTCACTCTACCCACGTCCCTTATGATTTTATAAACCTCTATAAGGTCACTCCTCAGCCTCCGACGCTCCAGAGAAAATAGCCCCAGCCCATTCCAACCCTGGTAATATCATTGTAAATCGCACCTGTATTCACCCTAACCTCAGTCCCTCCCACAGGGTGCCACCTCTCCCACGTACTCCGACGCCTCCCCAGGGTGCCCCACTTCTTCACCCCACCCGGACCCCGGCCCCTCCCACAGGATGCCCCTCTCGTCCCCCCAACCGCCTCCCCTGGACCCTACCACAGGGTCCAGAACCAGGGGGGCACAGTATGAGGATTTGGGGTAGACATTTAGGATGGAGATGAGGAGGCATTTCTTCACCCAGAGAGTGGTGAGCCTGTGGAATGCATTACCACAGGAAGTAGTTGATGCAGAACACTGAATATATTCAAGAGGTGACTAGATATAGCACTTGGGGCGAATGGGATTAAAGGTTATGGGGAGAAAGCAGGATTAGGCTGTTGAATTGGACAATCAGCGATGATCGTGAAGCATGGTGGAGCAGGCTCGAAGGGCTGAATGGCCTCCTCCTGCTCATATTTTCTATGTTTCTATGTTCTCTCAATTATCATCTTTCAACGTCAGCGTAAAATAAAGGTTCAACAGTAAATTCATCAATACAGACAATCAAAATACCTGAGCAGATCAGGGAGCCCGATAAATCTTCAAAAACACTGCACCCTCACTTCACCGACTCTCTGCTGGCATCCAGTCCAGGGAATGGCCCTAAATTAAAACCAGTTTCAGAAACAGCCCAGTGTGTGATTAAAATAAACCTCTCTCAGGAGGAAGTTAAAGGGAACTAATGCCTAACAAGCCAAGGTGAATGTTTACATTGTAAACCCCTCCCTTCTGATAATGCCACTGACACAGCCAGAGCCAAACACACAATTTACAAATATTGGTGGAGGCAGTGCTGGTGTTTCCTTCAAATTCTGGCTTCAAACGACAGGGAGGAGACAATTCAAAGGGAAGAATATAAGAGAGCACAAGGCACTCAGTGAGCAACCATGGGTTTAATTGGAGATTGCAACAAATTGTTCAGAGACTAATTTATAATTCCTTCTTCCAAACAGGGTGGCCTGCAATCTGTTGAATATTTACCAAATTAAAGGGAGACCATGTTAGCAGTTCTGATCGATGACCTCTTGGTCAAACTTTCACACTCTCACCAATTCTGACTCCTGTTTTTAAATCAACGGGAAAACCCCTTCCTCTTTACAAAA